ATGAAAGAAAAGATTTTGGAGGTGGAGGCTCATGAAGTTTGTTCACTGAGGTAACTTACATAAATAATATACAATGTAAATCATATATATTATCATAGAGAAAACAAAATATGAGCCAAGAATACATTTCTCTACATTTTTAGATTTTACTAGCATTGAAAACTTCAAGGTTTATTTTGACTAGTGTCTGGCTTTCTAACTGACAAGCTAATTAGAAGGGTCTGCTAGACTACTTGTCCATACCAAGTGTAGTGTGCAGCTGTCCTGGGGGAAAGACACGCGGGTGAACTTGTTAACACGTGAAATTAAGCAGCACTCACCCGAAAAACTGCCATTTCTTCCAGCAGAACTTCTTCTAAATCATGCCAAGTCTCCTTAGGAATTGAAACCACTTTAAGAACAGTTCCGACATCTTTGAGAGAAAATGGAGAAAAGCACAATTTAAACAGACCTCAACAGAGTTTAGTGTTAATGAATGGATCCAGTATTTGACCAGAAAGAACATTTTGACCTCAGTCTTCCTTTTATTTTTTTGTTACAGAATTATTAAAATATTCATATGCCTTTCATGAAACTAGATAAACTACAAGCATAGCATAAAACTAAAAGAATTTACTTTTTAGAAATAAAAAAAGCTTTGAAGATGATATCACCCTGAACTTGCATTATTAAAAATGTATATAATAATTGCTAGGTTGGACTATTATTTTTAGTCTAAATTGTCAGGTGTCTCAGTAAAAAATACAACAAAAATAATACCAGCTTTGACATGACAGGTTTTTCCACTCTTGTTATGAAATCAGGGACTACTATGGAGACTTCATGTAGTTGCAAAAAGCCAGGAATGTTGTCAAGCAACAGATACTTGTAGAGTGGTTAGAGCTTCAGAGCCTGGCTGTTCATGCTCCTGTCACCTGAAAGCCTTTAGTACTTAGAGGCCCCTAAAGACAGCTCGATGACCATTAAGGGATGAGTGACAACTTTATCTCTCAAAATAAACACCTTGGATTACTTACTGCAGTGTTTTTTTTTAATAATTGGCTTATCAATTTTGGTTAATCAATTTTATAGTACTAAAGAACTTAAAATTCAGAAGCATAAATCATAAAAATTATTAAGTTGAATACATTTTACATAGATTTCAAGCATTGTTTATTCTAATTTTAAATTGTTTTAATGACAAGAGCTGTCACTTTTATTCTAAGTTGGGTTAAGCAGATATTAATTTTCTAGTATTTACAGGCACATTCCTATTTCTTGATAAAATGAAGAACAGGGCCTTATTAAATTAAAAAATTTGACTCTTCAACATTTCAATTCTAATCAGCTGATAAATTATACTTTGTTTCAACTGGTTCATTTTAATCAAGTTTAAAGACTCATTATTTGAGAAGAAAATCTTGCCAGTAAAAAATAAGTTATGGCAGAAAAAAAATTCAATGTATTCATATCACTGATAACCATTTTCAGGGGACCAATATGATGTGATATATGAGATCAAAAAAGGTTGCTAGTGTATCCCTTGTAAAGTTAAAAAAAATTCCTCTTTTAAGAAGATCCTTCTATGTTTACAGGACCTCAGACTCCTTATAATACCAAAGATTAAAGGTAAGTTAGGTTAAACTACTTAGTGCCTCTGATGGGTCTCCAGTATCCTAACATCACTTTATCTGTGTTCCAGATCGAGTTTTCCCGAGTAGTATTTCAAACAATTTCACACAAACTGAATCAGATTACTCAACTAGGATCAATACATTATGATGTGCTACTTAGTTAAAAGATAAAATTACTGTCATCAATTTACTTTGCTGACAGATGACCCAGGTCTGTGCTGACTGATAGCCATCCACATCATCAGCCGTTCAACACGCTCATGAAGCTGGTTTCTTTAAGGACAGCATGTGTCCAAGTAGAATTAAAAACTCGTGATTGGGTTTCTTTGGTCAAATAGCCGAAAGCAAGCTTTTGTTGCACTGACAACGAGTGAGGGACTTCTCAACATGCTTAGGCCAGAGGTGGAGAAAAAGGCAAGTGTGACATTAGTGAACAAAATTAATTACTCTGTAGAGAGATCTAATTATAGTTTGACATTAAATAATAAACTAAAATTTATAAAAAAGAAATCATATCATCTTATAATTTCTAAACATATTTGTAATCAGAAGTTGATATTTGCAATTCACTGACTTTTAGCAAACATTGAGTCTCATTGGGATTCTGCCATTTGATATAGAAACTTTCTCGTAAAAGTAGACTGTAATGTATGGCTCAGAACCTGACACTGTTACACCTGATAACATAGGTATTTCACGATTTTGTTATAAAACTTTAAGTCCTTAAAGCACTTACTCCAAGATTGTCATTCCCGTGTAGTTAATGCAATTTTTAACCTCTTTCTCACCAAGGGAAAATAAATGTTATTATACCAGGTTTCAGTGAGGCACTCACCCAGTTTCCCATTGATTTATGTCAGTTAGCAATGCTAATGGAGATGAGGAATTTATTACCTTGGAATTTGACCCTAAGTAGCAAGTTTCAAATTTGTAACTGGCACTTTCAAAACAGTATTATTAAAGGGAGGAGGGGAAAATAAAATAATATGTCAAAATAACAATGGAATTCTTTCTGAAAATATACCTGTAAAAAGTTTGTTTCTAATCAAAGAAGAATTAAAATGAGGTTGTTGAATTTCTATAGAAAGGTATCTAAGAATGTATGTGATGATTCCGTAACTCCATTTTGTTGTTTTTCTGATATAGTGCGCCCCCCTCCCCATTGTATGGCAAATACACTGAATAAGTTTTGTTTCTCATATTTATTTGCTGGGAGATTTACACTCTATGGTATTTTTAAAATTTGGATAATTTCAAATCAATTAATTCAGAAGCCATTACTGAATGTCTTGGCAAGTTTAGGTATGGTTTGAGCAATACATCTTTGTTCTAAAAAGCCACTGTCCAGAGAGAGTTATGATAAGGATATTGATTATTTACTTAATTATTAGCTTTACCTGATCATTCTTATCAACTTTTGATTGAAACAAAAATTGAATTTAAAATGTCAAATTGCTTACAAAGATAACACATTATAACAATATAATGTTCAGGTTTTGTAGTCATTTATTAACATTTAACTATACCTTGAAAATGACTATAAAAACTTCCTTTTTATTCTCAGTAGACTTACTCAGTTGAATTCAATGGTCTTGAAGGAAATTTAGAGCTGAAATCAGATATTTACCTGTTCCAATAAACATGACATCATACTGGCCATCTTCTGCATCCACTCGATCCACTACAATTTGTGTAAACTGATAATTTACATCTGTTTTGACCATTACTGGGCGGTTATTAATAGGAAACACTGGATTGTACATGGCTGGATGACTTCTTGCAAATGTTATAACATCGTCAGGAAGGTCTTTGGTAGAGTCAAATCCACCAAATGTTTTGCTGGGACACTGATAGGATAAAGAGAAGGATATATTTTGATTAAAATATAGTTAATATGATTATAAATTACATATATATATGGCTAAGCAACTGTCCAGCTGGTAGCTATGATGCATAATCATCTGGGGGCAGATGCTCAACTATATATGTATATATACATATATATATATATATGGCTAAGCAACTATCCAACTGGTAGCTATGAAGCATAATCATCAGGGGGCAGAAGCTGCTGGGCTGCAGTGACTTGGCAGCTACAGTTCTTGGGTGACAGCTGCTGAGCTGTGGTGACTTGGCAGCTACAGTTTTTGGGCGACACCTCCCAGAACCAGAGAGGAGGGAGCCCGATTCCAGGTTGCATCACCTGAGAACTGTCTACCAGAGAGGAGGGAGCCCGATTCCGGGGTGCATCACCTGAAAACTGCCCTCTCCCAATCCGGGACTCCTCAGGGGATGCTGGAGAGCCAGTTTCGGCCCGATACCCTAGGCCAGGCCATGGGAACCCACCTGCTGGAGGGACCCTGCTCACTCTGCCGATGCCCTTGCAGCGGTTCTCAACCTGTGGGTCACGGATGACCTTTTCACAGGGGTCGGTCGCCTAAGACTATCCTGCATATCAGATATTTACATTATGATTCATAGCAGTAGCAACATTACAGTTATGAAGTAGCAACGAAAATAATTTTATGGTTGGGTCACAACATGAGGATCTGTATTTAAAGGGCCAGAAGGTTGAGAACCACTGCCTTAGAGTCTTGGCTTAGCTCTAGGTGTAGCCCGTTGGGGAGGGGATGTGGGAGGTTGGCTACAGGGCTTATCCTGCCAGTCTCGCCCAGTCCCGCCCCACGGGCCACCTTCTAATTAATATCCTTCAATGTGCAGGAATCTGTGTACCAGGGCACTAGTATAACAATATATGACATAAATGGCCTGTAATCATTGTTTAAGTAAAAGAAATAATGTTACTTACATGTTAGAGACATTCAGAATAATTTTTTAGATATATTTGATTTTTATCCTATGTATATGCCAAAATACAAATGCTTTTTTCAAACTAAAAGCCAATATAAACTATTCTTTATTGCTTTGTTTCTGGCATAACTCTGAAAAGGTACCACAAAACATATCAAAAGTACTATCACTAAAAAGTTATTTTAGGGATAAGAACAGGTATTATTACGTGGGTAACCTGCAGGGAACTGAAACTGACCAATCAGAATGGACAAAGTAGAATAGATGAGGGCCATAGAGAGTCAGAGAGGATGCACTGTAGTACGCTGGCAAAATATCATCGCTGGATGTAAATGCTCCATATAAAGTAATAAGCCAAAAAGGAGAAAATTCAGATTTCACAGTCTCTTTTACTTAATTATGTGGTACAAGCACTCAGAGTACAATATCTCCAGTCTCATGCCTTTTGTCTTCCACTTAAGTAATTTCTGCCACTTAACGTAACAGCTTTGGAGCTAAAGGAATATAGAGTTCTTACAAGAGAGTTAGAAGGAGAAATCAATTGTCTGTAATTACCTTGATATCTATCATTAATAATTCATGAGAAATAAAATAAATAAACCTGTTTTAAAAAAGAGTATGTATTTATGCATATATATGTATGTACACATTTGTTGTGTATATATATATGTGTATATATATGTGTATACACACACACACACACTCATACACATCAGTGTAACAGTTGAAGGATTTAAGGAATTACATTTTGTTTAAGTAAATTATAAAATTACTTATTTTATATTATAGAAATATAAAAAAGCTCTATAAATTCTTAGAAGAAATGATAAAGCATATTTTTATGACATCTATCATTAGTTTTTGCTTTTCTACTACCATTTAAATATAGCTTGCAAAAATTTAGAAATGTGTGATTTAAAGTTACAGTAAGGAATTAATTTTTATTTTATCCTATATCTGTGTCATTCTTTTGCCTTTCTGGACTTTTATTTTAGTATCTAGCATTACTTAGTTACAGGTTTTCCTTTAAAAATAAATGCCATCCACCATGGCTGGTGAGACTCAGTTGTTAGAGCTTAGTCCTGAGGACCGAAGGGTTGCTGGTTCAAATCCAGGTCAAGACACAGACCCAGGTTTTGGGGTTTATCCCTGTTCAGGGTGCATAGAAAACACAACTCTCTCTCTCTCTCTCTCTCTCTCTCTCTCTCTCTCTCATCACTGAAAAACATATCCTTGGGTAAGAGTTAAAAAAGATAAATAAAAATATATATCATCTACTGACACCATTTGAAGGTCACAGAATATTTTTCACCAGTAATGTGATGAAATGACAAATTCTCAGCTGCCACTTTTTGGGATCAATGAACTCATCCACGTAAATGTTATTCATGGCGTTAGGTGTTATCTCCTCCTGGCATCTGTCTCCTAATTCCTACATCAGGCAATGCTTTCTGCCTTCTGCCTTTAGCACTTGGTGCATATGCTGACTTCATTTCCCATGTTATAACAACCCTCCACGAATACTGGGTGAGAGCACAGGCTCTAGACCAAACTGCCTGGACTGCATCCTAGATCCTATCCTTGCCTCAGAGTCCTTATCTGTGAAATGGGAACAATAATTGGGCTATTGAGTACAATATATATCAATAAGTATAAAGCTCTTAAAATAGGATCTGGCACACAATAATTTCTAATTACTAATTTCTAATTATTTCTAATAATTCCAAATATATTTTACACACCTTCAGATGAAATACTTTGTAACTCCAAATAGCAGCATAATATCTAGCACATTGAAGTAATTCCAAGTTTGTTGAAGTGAACCTCACAAGAGTTTGTATTTAGAATACAGTGGCATTCATTAGCCATGGAGATATAAATAGCCATAGGGATATAAAAATGTCCACCAACAAAGTCAAAACAGTTTACCACTAAGAAATAGGATATATATCTTATGCTTTTTATAAAACCCATTGGGCTTCACCTAATTAATAGATATTCCACCTTGTTCATTTATTCTGAAAGTTTATTTATTTTTTTATCTATAAGATCCATCATGTAGAAGTAATATTTGTAAAATGGAAAAATTTTAATTTGCTCATAAATAAGTGTAACAATACAGAAAAACAAGACTATTAAAAGAATTTGTCTAATAAAATCATAGAAAACATAACTTACTTAAATTTAACAGAATTTTAAAAAGCTGAAGTGAAATGAAAGTAATGAAAGTTAGACTTCAAATACAAGTTTTTTTCATCACACAAAATTACTTCCTTAATGGTTCTTAGGATTAAAAAATGTCACACTTAAGTGAATGGTTCTATCAAAATTTTCTATTACCTCTGATATCATATTGAGGAAGGCTTCCTTCATTTGCTATCATACTGAAGTCTTTTCTTTTTCATCTCTACTTTAAATAAGATTCAAAGCTGGTTATACTTTGAGTTCTGTCCATTTTTTTTTAAGCCTGCATGTGCGCAGGGCTAGATGGTAAAGGAGAGTTTGGCGATGGCAGACAGCCTCTCATAAAGTAATAGGTCCTGCTCATTCTATGAGATTTTTTTCACGTATTTTCTTTACCTGCAATATTAGTTGAAAAACAGTTTTTCTCCATTTAAGCCTCTGCTATGATCAGAGAGAATAAGTCCAGGTGTAGCCTAATTATTCCAACTCTCCATAAAGGCCATATTCACTATATCCCATTCAGAAAACAAAATAAATAAGCCTGTCCATTCAGTTTCTATTACTCAAAAATGATGGGTATTCATAACTGGTAAGCACTGACGTTAAGCACGGATGTTCATAAAGAAAATGGTTTTGAACATGGAGTTCCATTGTAACACAGAAACCCTTTCCTTGCTTTCATTTATAGTCTGGGAATTCTGGGTTTACATAACCTGTATTTAATATCTGAGTAGAGCTGCTATTTTAAAATTTTAAGCAGACAGTTACTCTTTTTATATTTTAAGCATCTAGGCTACTTACAGTTCCTGGTCGTGGGTAGGGGACTCGTCCTTGATAAGGCACCCACTGATAGTTGGGACCATCCCTGTGAGCGTATGGACCAAGGAATACCCTTCTCACATCACTCATGCTATACATACACACAGCTGACCCCTTGAAGATGTTACTAAAAAAGAGAGACAAGACAAGAACAAATTTTCATCTCTATACAATGGCAAAAGAACTATTGATACTGAGTTCTTAAATTTTGAATATCAGTGATCAAAAAACACAAATTCTTAGCAATATCAAATAGTGTTTGAGGTATTTAAATTCATCTATATATTTAAACAATACATAAGAAACAAATTATGATTCTCAAAAATAGAAGGCATGGAAGAAACCATCTCTATTATTTGTAGAATATATAATCATATAATGCATAATCTTTTATAGGAAAAACACATACACTGATATCCTAATGAATAATGTTTAATTCTGACATCAACTAGAAATAACAATATAAACTGTGGTAATATGGTAAGCCTCATGTGTCATAAATGAAACCAGGAAACTTTTAAACAAGAATGCTTAAGAATTCATTTTAAAGCTGAAATGAGCAGAAAATGAATAGTCAAGGTCGTATGATGTGTTACATTATATTATTTTTAAGTCCCAAACCATCATAAATATTAGATCAGCTAATTTTTGTGATGATGTTTAAAAACACTACTTCCAACACAGAAAATCACTTTAAGTCAGTAGCTATCACATCCTAGTCAAGGTGGAGTATTACAGCAATTATCCCCATCATTTTGCTAGACAAAAATCAGGTAATTGAAGCAACTGGACGTTTGCCATGAGTTCCCACAATTTTCCATTTTATTTTACTTATATAAATACATGTTGAGGGATGTATTTATACCATGATATAAAACAGTTGTGCACATTTAAAATATGGAATGCTTATCTTTTAACCAATCTTTCCCAGAGAAAATTACATATAAATCAGACCAAATGAAAAACATGTGTTTATAAGATTTTATTATACAGAAATCACTGCATATATATAATGTCTAGTGGAGTGCAAGCTTCATGAGGGATGAAAGCATGCCTGGATTCTTTTCTGTAGCTTCAGTTGCATATTGCAGGACCCCTGACACAGAGTCGATCTCAGTAAATAGCTGTAGAATTTAATAACAATCTATATATATAAAAGCCTAAGCGACTGTCTCACCCTTCCACTATCCGCCCAGTAGCTATGATGTGCAATGACCACCAGGGGGCAGGCACTCTGACCAGTAGAGAAGGGAGCCCAATTCCTTGTGGAATCAGCCGTGGGTTAGGTTGCTGCTGGGGCACTGTCAGCCCCGAATTTGCTTCACCTGCACCCCGGACCCAGAGAGGAGGGAGGAGGAAGTAGGGAGGAGGGAGCCAGTGGGCATCCAGGTCCTTGGGGATGGGCCTGCAGGAGGGGGTCTCATATTCCAGGATCCCTCAAGGGATGTCAGAGAGCTGGTTTCAGCCTGATCCCCGCAAGGCCAGACTGAGGGACCCATATTCGTGCACCGGATGGGTTTCAGCCGGATCCCTGCAGGTCAGGCTGAGGGACCCGACCCGTGCAAGAATCTGTGCACCGGGCCTCTGGTATTTTCATAACAGAAGAGCACGTTTATGCACATATGATACGTCATAGATTCTTATGTTTATATAACCATTTTTTATTAATATATACTTTACTCATCTCTTGATGAAATCAGTCAACACGG